TTAGGACACTTAACCCTGAAACACCCTGTATATCAAATTTTGTGTGAAAAACAAAATTAAGTGCGCGGATGCATTCCGAATGTTGACTGTGGCATATGGTGAAGCTACCTTGAACCAAAGCAACGTTTATCGGTGGTACAAAATGTTCTCAGAGGGCCGAGAAGATGTGAACGACGAAGAGCGTGCCGGACGCCCGAGCACATCAATAACAGACGAAAACATTGATGAAGTGAAGAAAATAGTATTGGCCAATCGTCGAATCACCGTTAGAGAAGTTGCTGAGGACCTAAACCTATCGATTGGCTCGTGCCATTCGATTTTTACCAATGATTTGGGCATGAGACGGATCGCCGCGAAATTCGTACCAAAATTGCTCACTTTCGACCAAAAATCATCGTTGCTTGTGCGCGAATTTTTGGCCAAAAACAACACACTAATGATGCCGCAGCCACCGTATTCCCCAGACCTGGCCTCCTGTGACTTTTTCTTGTTCCCGAAACTGAAGAGGCCCATGAAAGGACGACGCTACGCCACGATTGAGGAGATAAAGACGGCATCGAAGGAGGAGCTGAACAAGATCAAAAAAAGGATTTTTTGAAGTGCTTCGAAGATTGGAAAAAACGTTGGCACAAGTGTATAATATCTGATGGGGATTACTTTGAAGGGGACAACATAGATATTCATGAATAAATAAATAATTTTTGAAAAAACACAAAATTCGCGATACTTTTTGAACAGACCTCGTAAATCGTCGAGGACATTGTGGTGTACAGATTTGCGGTATTACTAGGCGTTACTAGACATTTCTTGGGCATTAGGCCTTGCTGAGACATTATAAAGATAAAATCAAACAAAATAAAATAAAATAATAAAATAAAGTAATGTCCACTGCATTAGCGGGCATTAGTGGGCATTGGTGTACAAAATTTTGATCAGCGGTTTCCCCATCGGCAATCCAGTAGGAAAAATAGTATCGTGTGCCGTTTGCTTTAGAAGAGCCAGATAATCGACTGACCTCTAATTAACATTTAATCAGAAAATAAAAAAACCGGGTCTAGGAAACTTATCGGCTCCCGCAAACTCCAACAGAAGTTTTACCGATTTTCGCGGCCGAGCGTTAATTCTCCCCGAGTATAGGCGGAATATGTTTAACTTCCGCATTCGCGCAACTTTCGAGCGTGTAAATTTAAATTTCACGGCGTATCATCCATATTAATATACTTGAATACATTTTTTAACGAATAAAATTTAATTAAACTTAAAAATATAACTACAATGGGTAGTGTATTATTTCCACAGTAGTTATCATATTTTGCAACAACTCTTTAAACGTTAATGTGTATTCATGAATTTGCCACTCATTTATTAAAAAAAAATAAACGAGAATTTAGATTAATCTATCGTAATTTCGCGCTGCGAATTACCTTTATTTCCACGTTATAAAACTGGTTTCTACGAGGTCCGGTTGAGTCAGGTTACGCGAAACAAACAAAACAAAAAAAGAAGAAGAAGAGGAACCGTGTCGGAAACAATATTGTCTTCATTCACGCAATCGTCGACGAATCGCAGCGCATCGGGGACTGCAGCTATTGTGCCCAAATATAACTTCGATTTTTCTAACGCGATTTGTATTCATGGCGGCCTCATTGCGGGCTCTCAATATGCAAGCGGGCTCGCCGACGCGATAAAATTTCGCCTTCGCGAAAAACTGCGCCGAAACGGTAGGAAACCGCGCGAAGAAACGAACGGAAGAAATACAAAGGCGAGGAAGGAGGACAGAGCGGCTCGACTGCAGTTCATGAATGTTAATAACGTACGAGTAGGCGAGGCGTCCCATCTCTTTCTCTCTCTCTTTCTTTCTTTCTTTCTCTCTCCCTCCCCCACCCGCTTCTCCCCTCAAGCATCTCGTACGATCCATACATATTTGCATGAATTTGGCAAACAGCTCGTTACGAATGCGACGAATGCCGTATACGTGTGCGCGCACGAAACGCGCATGTTTGGGTTAACGTGTGAAGGCCGTTCGGCGCCTCGCGGAGAGTCCGCCTTGCGAGCTGAATGCGAAATCGAATTAATTTTTGACTCGTAATTGCCGCGCCTCGTCACGGAGCGCCTCGCTCCGAGAATCGTTGACAGAGCTCATTATTATCCCGACCTTCAACGTCGATTATCTCACACGTCGGAAAAAAAAATCTGGTATTATATTATGTCACTTGTCAAACGTCTCTCGCGCGGCTTCCTCCAACGACGGGCATCAATGGCTGGTAACGAATGCCAGCCACTGAGCAATTTTTCCGACGTGCCTTTGAAACGCGAGACGGCAGAAATGGTTTCATCGAGGGAAAAGGGCTTTGAACTTCATCTTGGCTTTTTATATTAACCTCCTCGTCGAGCTCGCGGAGATTGTTTAACAAAACATGCGCTCCTAATGAACTGGCGTTATTATTATTAACGCGACATGCCGAGGGAGGGATGAAAGTTTCAACTTCGCGGCAGTGACCGCGGGTGCTAAATGTAACGAAGTCTAATCCCTTTATAAACTTGCGCCTTTTATACCTACGCGAAAATAGTGAGCAGCGCGCAACGCGCCTTCGTTTAACAAAAAGTAATTTCAACTCGCGTCACGCGGAAATTACTTTCTGCGCGATATCTGCAGGAACGAAGACAGAAGAGCAACCTCTCATTCTCGCACACTGCTTTGTACGCAACTGTCGCTTTGTACCACGGGATAGGCGACTACCTTCCGTAATATCGATACTCCGGTGTCACAATCGGTTTTTCTTCTATTGTTGAGCGAACTCGTAAGAAAATGCCCCGAGGAACATTTAACTTCTCATCTTCATATTTTATTTACGGAAAATCGGGCACGATGCGAAAGCTCGAGATATACGCGCGGAGGAAGAAATTAATTTCTCTCTGAGAAAAAACTGTATAACACAGATACGGTACGTCGATCGTATCGCTAATAGCCGATTCGGCAATTTGCGCTAGTACGCATACCAAGGTTCAGAATCTACTCTTATATTCATGGTCATCTCAATTACATGTCCGAGAACTATTTAACAAAAAAAATAATTTGCACGATGCTATACAGATCATTTTACTGGCTAAGTATTAACAAAGTATTCATAGTCGAGCCTTATTTCAAAATCATCTTAAGTGTTGTCTTAAGATGATCTTAAATATAAGAACGGACAAGAGGGGATGCTGGAGTGATTCTGCACTTTCGCACCTTTTGCACTTAAAACTGTCTGTTTCGTGGAAAGATTTGTGTAATACACAAATTAAATGGCACGCGTACAGATGATCGAAA